CATCAAGTTCTAAGCAATTAACTTTGGGGAAAGGAGGATGAATAATCTGTATTCCTTTCCTGTCAGGCTTCAGCTGTTGGAGGAGGAGGAGATAAATTGGACCTATCTACCTTTTCAATCTGTCTTCCCCCTAAGAATTCTTAGGAGCCATGTAGTAGGAGAGAGGAAATTATTGAAGTCATTAACCTGGTGTCCACCATTTTTCCTACTCTTCCATTCTCAGGTTGCCTATCTCACAGAGCATCTACCATGTCTGTTACAGTTACAATGCCTAGAAGAGCAGTGATAGATACTTCAAAAATGTATTGTTTAAAGCAGTGGGAATCAACCTTTTTGGCAAATATACCACAAATTGGCCCCACACCCTAAAAAGTGTAGGACCAATCCTGCTCCGATCCCCTTCCCCTGCCCAAGTTGTTGCTCTGCTTTCTGCTTCTCTCCCAGTGCTTCCTGCCTGATTTGCTGCTTTCCATTCTGCTTCCTGCCCTATCTACCATTGTGCTTCCTGTCCACCATCCCCCACAAAAAGGTTGCCCATGTCATTTGTGATACCTGTACCACAGACCCTGTTTTAGAGGCAGGATCTGTTTGATTTTTTGTGTTTGATTTTATAAAATTTGCATCCTTTTCATTTAAATTCTTGTGACACCCACCTTAAATAATAGTTTTGGTTTGTCTCTCTCCTACATTAAGGTAACTTCATTGTATGAGGCAATGTGTTCTCACAAGCATTGTCTGACTACCAGAATAGTATCACACCTGCACCAGTAAGGCATTAACAGTAAGCTTTTAAGTCTCTATTTTCAGGGGCTTATAACTGGCCTATAAAAATTCAATTCAAGAAAAAACGTTGGAATACATGCATTCTCAGCCCAAGAGAGCATTATTTTGATATTTTTCAACAAAATTGGTTGATAAAAAGTTGAGAGTGCAATTTTAGTTATAACTTAGATTTCTAATAAAATCTGGCAAATGATTAGTAGGAATGGAAACTCCTTTGGCAGAGCAGGGAATGGAAGTAAGGGGCTTATTCCTGTTCCCTGAAAGACAGGGAGCTGTTCATTGAGGCTAGAATATATTTTATATTTTTCCAGGTCTCGTCTAAGATCTGGATTGGTGTTTGCCAACACAGTATGTTCCCAAGACCTACCGTACATACTATAACTTAAGTCAAACCTTCCAGCCTACATCTGTGCCCAGTGCATACTTTTGTGGTCTGTTTTTATTCCTTCCTCATCTAGCACCACAATGATGAAGGGCCCCAGGTGCAAGCAACCATTTGTGTTTGTAGTTAAACCCATCCTAATGGTCACTGAATATTCAGGACTAAGCCTCAGAGGCCATCATAAACAACTGTGCCTCCCACAGAGCTATGAAATCCCCAAACCAAGCCATAAGTATTCCTTTATGACAATTTCCTAACCCCTCTCTCTTCCTGGGTCTTACCTTCACAGCAGCTTACCTCTTGGACTACCGAGAGGTATGCTGCTGAGGTGTCTTTTTTCTTAGTTTAATCCTTGTCTTCAAATTCCATTTCCCTTGTAGTATCACCGCCTTTCTCCCCCCTCACTGGGAAGCCATTTCTGCTCTCAGACATTAATTTCTTAGGTTTTTCACATCCAGAGCCTCCTAGTTTACTATAAGGCATCCCAGTTTCTCTTTCTCCTTACCACAATACAGGGTCTTTTCTTCTGGCTACCCACTTGCCCATGCACTGCCTTTCCTTATATTGCTCCAGTAATGAGTAAGTTATTATTTTGACATGCTTCAAAGGTATCAGTGGAAGGTAGCGTTGCCCATATCCGTGACTAGTTTACTTTAAACTCTTTGTCCTACATGAAGAGTTACATTGCAACTTTCACTGAAATGCCTGTAGGCCTGCAGCTTGGATTTTCATTCCATTGTTGTCTTAAAAATAAACCAAGGAAGAAACAGTTGGAGATGTATGTAAGTGCCTGCTATTGTACTTTCCCATGTCAATGAGAGAGTGAATTTTTATTTACAATTTTTTTTTTAACATTTTGATTCTTACTGCCGGTCCTGATATTTGACCAATGCTACCATTGGGAAACCATATTCTTCTGAAGTGTTTATCAAGTTCATTTTGGATAAAAAAGTGCTTGCAAATGAATAAGTTAAATCAGTGTCCCTGGGACCTATAGTTCTGTATGCTCATGAAACATCCCCCTTTCAAAATCCACATCTGATGAATGTCCATTTAGAGGGATTTCATAGCTCTGCTGGAGGTACTGTGGTTTAAAATGGCCTCTGCAGCTTAGTCCATTTACAGGGAAAATTTGACAAGCTGTTGAGCAATTAAATCAGAATTTATTGTTTTTAAATAACATCAGTTGCTCTATTGTTGCCAGCAGCAACCATTCTCTGGAAAGAGGGCAGCAGAGAGCATATTAAACTGATAGAATATTTTTCTTAAGTAGTATATATGGTGTTGAGTACTGAGTAGGGGAATGGAGAAGAGATGGTACTTCTGACAATCCATTAAGTTTGGAAGATGTAGTATAATTTAGTCATGGTTTTGCTTCAATCTGCCACTCAAGAATTATGTGGTCATCCTAAACTCATGAAAATATAAAGTGTTTTCATATAGAGAGAGAATGTGTGTTAATTTTTATGTGCAGATTTTACTACACTTTATAATGATATTTAACAGCATAAAATGTTGGCACCCGTACTGAAAATTGGTGAAGGTTCAACCATCTAATTTTGAGCAGGTTATGCTTATAGGCACTAACACTTGCAGACAGTTTAATAACAGTATTTGGCACTGTCTCTTAGAGCTGCTTAAACTAATTAATGCATTTGCTCCCTACAGGGTGAAATTGAGTTTTCAGATACATTTATAAAATGATGTGCATGATTGCTAAATATTTCATTATTTTGAACTATAACTTCTTGGGGTTTTTTTGTTTTGTTGGGGGTTTTTTGCTATCATAAAGCACTATTATATGTTATCTGAAAAAAATGTGCAGTAGGTATCAAAATATATGATAAACTCCATCCTTATATTCTAATACATCATTATTTTATTATGTGGTATTTTAGAATGTTAAAAGGTACTCAATAATTTGGCCATCAATTTACACAGTAACATTATTGCTTTGCTCTCCAATGATGACTTTGGAACCATTCCATTGTTTCTTGTAACTGTTCCATGCTCCAGTTAAGTTTGCACAGACTTCTCATTTTATTCCTACAGGTTTTGTAAAGTTCCAGGTCCACCTACCCTGCTGGGCCTAGCGCGCCTCTTATTCCTCTGCCAAAAAGGAGGGCAGGGGGGGTGCAACGGGGGATTTGGAGTCAGGCCCTGGCAATGTGGATTTACTTTGTTTCATTGGTTTTAAAAAATGACATCAGGCAATAATTCCCTGAAACCCCTGAGTGCTTAAGGTTAACACTAATCTTGCTGGCTTAAAAAGAGGTTAAAAAAATAATAAGTAACAATTTGATTTGAAATAAACCTTTCTAAAGAAATCACAGTAAACAAAATCTGTTTGCCTAAGGAAACCCTCCTAGCAATCAGCTAGTAACACAACTGCTTGTGCTAATGAACCCAAAGCTGTTAATGTGGTTTCTTCAGTTAAATTGATTCATGAATTTTGAAGAGAACATTATCTAATGAATTTTCTTTGAATAGAAAGCAATTAAAAGGACAAATCAGTCTGATTAACCCCAAAGTCACCCTACTGCCACAAATGGTGTACAGTTTGAAATTATATCATAAAAAACTAGAGCAGATTTGCTATCTCTTTGCCCTCTACTAATCCATGTAAATTAATGAACAACAAAGTTAATTTCTTTGATGACCCTTTTCTAGTATCACCTGGATTATGCTGATGTTTAATTTGCTTAATGTTATAATAAAGGCTAAACAGATTTTTTCAATGAAGTGATTATCATTCCCTTCAGTTAAGAAGTGATTTTTATTATTTAACACACACATAATGGTGTATGGCTTTCCTTTAAGAACAAAATCACATTTTGCTGGGTTTGTACATAACAGTCAATGGTACTTTTGACACTCGGTTCCAAAATAAGGGAATGGTTTTAATCAATGTACGTTTTATTTGCCAAAGGAGGAGACTGGTGTTTTCATCATGTGTGCTGTTTTTCCCCCCTATTTCTTCCTGTCAGTACAGTAGAAGTGTTTTGTAGTTATCTTCAAAGCTTCCACAAGTACCTTGAAAGAACAATAGGTGTTAAACCAAACTAAAATCCTGAACTAGCTATTGGTTTTCCTTCTGTAAAATAATCCTGGTCTAGAAATCTAAAACTCTTCAATGCAGAGGGGAAATTGTTCTAATGTATTCATTTATGCATTATTTCAACTCTATGAACACTAAAAGCAATTTGATAGTGAATTAAAACCAAAATAATGGAAGTTATTTTATTTCCACAAGCCCTTATCATTAAGAATGTACTGTACATTCAAGGTCACAGCCAGTCCTTACATTCTATAATGTCTAGAATTCTGAATAGTAGCTTGGGGGTCTCTACTATAAAATGCAGTCAGCCAGGATAATACCAAGTCCACTGGCTCTAGGGCTTCTTTTCCAGTGTGTCCCAGCTGAAGTTTGAAATTAACAAGAGATGCAAGAGCTTTATAAAATAGGTAAAGCCAGTTATTTCTTCCCTTCTTAATTTGACTCTATGCTAATTTATACTCTGCCAATTTAATGGAAAACCACATTGTGTGAGTTAACACGATAATTGTACTTGAAGCAAATTAAAAATATAGGAAAATCAAAGCCTTAAATCCCCCTTTTTATAGTGATCAATTACTTGAAGCACTCTCTCTAATAATCATGTATTTAAATATAGTAATATAGGACACAATAATAGGACTGAGAATCTGAGCACTTTTAATATAAAATAGAAAAGTTGCTATTCATACTGTGGCTTAATTGTCATAGGTTTTGACTATCTTTATTATTGGTTCTTTGAGACATGCTTATGAATAGTGTGTGACTGCTTTTTTGCAGCTTCATTCACCAGGCAAGTGTTGTGGACCCTGTTGAGAGATGTGAAATTCGGAGAGACAGTTTCTTACAAGCAATTAGCAGACCTGGCAGGCAACAGCAAAGCAGCAAGAGCAGTGGGAGGAGCAATGAGAAGCAATCCTGTAAGTTCATGTCAACTTTTGAAATAAAGTTGATGGAAGATGGTGGGTTTAGACAGAAGGATTTGTGGGCTAAATGTCATTAGATTAAATTTATCTGCTATGAAAACTACTCTACCATGAGTAATAAGGTCAGTTAGTGTTTTTAATCAGCATTAATGCACAAACTAGTTTAATATGATTTATTTCTCACCATTCATAGTGCTACTGGGCTTGGAAACTTGGAAAAGACATATTGTATGTGTTTTAATTTAATTCATCAAGCTATCCAAATTTGGTTATTTGCAAACTTTTTATTTTATTTTATTTTTTGACATACTCTGAAGTAAGGGAACCTTTTGTCACAGTGACACCTTCTGACAGGATATGGATGCTTTTGACTGAGTTATGAAGTAGTTCATCCATCCTGTCCTCAAAACAGTTTGGACAGTGTGAGTTTGCATATGATAATACAAGTAGTCAAGAGGTACTACCTTTGACTCTGCTCCTTGTTAGCTCAGGATCTGAGTTACCTAGGTTGGCCAGGTTCCTCTCCTACTTCCACCTGGACCAGAACTTCAACTTGTGAAAACGGTAATTAAATTATATAAATGTATATTATGTAATGGCCTGGCCTTTGAGTTCTTACGGCGTTTGGTAAAAAACAGTGAGTGTCCCTTACAGATGCCTCGGGCACCAATCCTTAATGAAGGAAATAAAGCTAGTGGGCATTAGGACCCTGAATGCGAGGCTGGCATCTAAATACCCTTTGACGGTTTGGGTCTCAAATACATTCAGCATGATAAGATGGTTTGTGGTCCATTACTATGAACTGTACTGAAGTTGAGGCTACTTAGGTCATGGCATTGGGGATTAGGCCATAAGAAATCAGCATGAATGGAAGAGAAGGTAGGAAGTGGGACTTTGGTTTTGTAACCCCACTGTGTTTAGATCTTAGAGTATATGCCCCTTCCCTAAGATTACCATATAGGTCATTGGGTTTTGAATGCATGTTTGTATGACATTAGCATTACTTTGGTGAAGCAGCAGAAGCCAGGATGCAGGCTGTATTTGGCTAATGGGAGTGACGTTAACATTCATCAGTTTTCATTGTTAAACAAGTTACACAGAAGCCATTAATATATGGTCCAAATGATGTTACTGTTTCTTCATCCTTTAGCATACCTAAACAAGGAATACTTGTTTAAAAAGTGAAGTATAGTTTCATTTCTATTAATAATACTGTGGCCTTTTCAGCCATTCTTGAACATATTTTTCCTCATTACCACATGCCCTCAGCTATGTGTGTCTTTCCATGCCTTGCTACATCTATTTATTACTCTAGCATCATATCACCTGTAATCTTTGACCTTCCATGTTGTTTTTACATTCAGTTTGCTCAGGATTTACTTTAATAAGGTACATATAAGCCTACAACATGTGGTTGCAAAGAATACAAAAATCTGTATACACAAGAGAAAGCGGCTCTACATACACAAATGATAAAGTTTTGCTTTTCACAGTGCCACATACCCTACACACATTTCTCCTGATTTGTAAAGAAAATCCAGCACACAAGTGACCCATATATGGGGACTGGTAGGTATGAATTTAAATGGAAAATGCCACGTGGGGAAGACATGGCCTTTCTGGAGTACAAAACAACTGTGCACGTGTCCTTGTATGGAATGTATTTAGAATCTAATTACAGATGTGCTGTAATGACTGTGTGTGATGGAGCAGGCAGGGGCTTCATTAGACTACAATGAAATATTCAATTTTTTTTATTAGCAGCTTTCGATTGTGAAATGTTGGTATGGTATTTTATCAATATATGTCTTTCTCTACAGCTATACAGTGGTCTCTCCTATGCTAAAAATTTGGTATGTCATCAGGGACGGAAACCACTATACCATGGGATGGGAAATAACTAAAATAAAATAGGACCCCACTTTAAAAAATTGCCATAGCTTTGCTGTATATTTTCAGAACTATTTTCATCCTTGCTCACAAGGGAAAAAGCAGGAATTTTCACACCACAACCTGCTGTTACCGCTACTTTGGATGCTGCTGCTCCACTGCAGCCTGAGGGCAAAGCTGGATACATTTCTAGGCGATAGCAATTACATATCCTTTTGCACAAAACTACATTGTTATTCTTTGATAACTGTTTCCTGTAGATTTATTGTATTCCCTTATCTTAATATATACCATATTGTATTGGAAAGCATTCTTCCCTATTAAAATATCTTGTATTGTCAGGTACGATACAACATATTGACAAAACATAATATCACAGTGTGTTTCTATATTTTGCTTCATAGGTAAGTCTCACATGCACCCAAAAACTTATAATATACTTTTTATATTGTGCTTGCAAACTTCACAAACACTAGATATTCATTAGGTTGTTTAACTGCGCACGACTCCTCTTAGTGGGTTTCCTACTGAATCTTGCCTATTTCTAAGCACGCTATCAGGCTTCATTTTCAACAAAGATACTGATGTTTAAAAATCTGACTAAATATGCATCCAGTTTAACATGTTACTGGAAAAGTTATGGGTGAACAATTATTAGAGTACTACAGCTGCTACATTAGGTCTTTATTAAAACCTTTCTTGAGTAGTGTTGCTCTTGTAGGATGGGTCAGAAATTGCATGGGGGGATTATAGTACACTGAAACATCATTAGCTGTAATTTTTTGTTATGGAGTGCATTGATAAGGGATTTGCTGCACATGAAATACAAAGTATGCACTTTTAAATTCTGTGCTTTTGTTAGTTGCCAGATTGTCATTTTTTCCCTCAACATAATAGTTTAAAGTTCAGTAAATATACCTCAGAGTCCTTATTGTAAAAACTATGCAAGATTAGTTGCTACAAAATTGAAATCAGCAATTGTTTGCACTTTGAAATATGTAGTATCTGGTTGTTGACAGTGATTGGTACTTACAACAGTATTCAGAAACATTTATTAGTCCATAACCAGTCTGAAACAATTTAATAGTATTAATTTCCATGAATTTTGGTCCAAATGTGACCTAAGTCACTAAAAAATTTTTTATAAATTACTGAAGGTAGTATTATCGCTAAAAGTAGGTGTTTATAAACCACTGTAAAATACAGACTAATAGTATTACCCAAAATACATGTAGTAATAAAAAACATCTCCCTTGTATTTTGTTGTTTTGTGGAAAATATCTCTGTTCTCCACAAATCATGTTGGGTTGGTGCTTAATTTCTGTCGTATACATTCGACAAGTTTCCCTTTGTAGTTAGGTTACTTCACATAATTCATACAATGACCTTCAACTTTATGAGAAGGTGGAAAAGGTGCCGGCAGCAGCTGTGAGAGATGCAACGTCTTTGCTTCAAATTATGCCAAGGACATGGTAGGGATGGCTCACCTTTTGCAAGAAAAACTTCAAATAGTTTACTGCAGTTTAGATTGATTGTGAGGTCTGTGGTCCTCAAAGGGAACCCATAAAGTTCAATTAAAAATCTCATTAGAATAGTATAGGAGGATCAAAAAGAAAGCACAGAGACTCTTGGGAGATGGGGAATGTTGGGCTGATTAGTCCAAGGCCATCATAAATGACTATTCTATGACTTAAATAAGATGTCTTCAGTGGTGTGTTAACAGCAATAATAACTGTATACGGTCTTTTATATTCTATCTGCTTATGCTATTGTGTAGGCTAAAACCTAACTAACTGTACAACTTGACACTAAAATCTATCTAAAATAAGTAAAGGGCATTATTCAGCCAAAATGTTTTAAACATTCAAGATTGAATAGAGTAATTGTGCATTTAAGAGAAGATTGTGAAGTATGGATTTGAAATGTTGCAAACACATAAAACTACTTGTGCATTAATTCCTTAGGTGGCTAGCAATAAACTTGAACACATGCTGGTTCATATTACAGTATTTGTTTCTATCAGGGAATAGGGGGTGGAAAAGCAATAGGACATGAGCAAACTGAAAGATTATTTTTTGCTAAGTGTGATTTTTGTTGTATGTTATAACTTGATATTTCAGCTGTTTCCATTATGGCCTCACTGATCTATTTTTGACAGTTTGGCAGCTTTCTGTAAGTATTCAGTCCATCAACCAGTATAATAGGATGGTCAGTTTTCTATTGCATCAAATTGAAAACTCTTAACAAGCAGAGCACCACAGTTGAACACCATTCTGTTTCATCCTCAGACAGAATTTGCTAAATGCAGTTCAAAGGCAATCAATACATTGTGCAGAGTTTTTTTCCCCACCTTTTTCTAAACAAACGCATTATTGAGGAGTTAGTTTATTCACAGATTGCCATGAGCGTTAATGACCACCCGAGTCTTGTTCTGCCAGTCACCTAGATGGCTGTTGATAAAGATTTAGCATCATGTTCTAAGTGTCAGGCCTGTCAGTAGTGCTGAACCATTTGACCAGAAGAAAAAACGCACAGGGAGCTATTGATTACAGCTTCTCAGTGTCACTTGTTCACCAGGATTTAGGTATTGATGAGGCTGCGAGTGAAAACAAGCTCTTTCCCTTGTGGGCCTCTACCCAGAAGAACAAAAGCAAAGTTGGAGAAAATATTCAGCTGGTACCAGAATCAGAGGGATTCCATTATTGATTGAAAGGCCCCTTCATGTTATTTTTGTTGGAGACAAATCTATGGGTTTGGAAGTTTTATAGCATTTGAGATGGGGTCCATGTAAGTGATGGATGTATTGGATGAATTAGATTTCGCAGCATGAAGATTTCAATGGAGCCGTAATATTATGAGCTGCTTGGTTATTGATAAAAATTACATTAAATGTAGCTAAGGCTTTAAAGCTGAAAACTAGGATAGTATTCCTTCCAAAATGTCCTTGGGGCCCTAATAAATTTTAACAGGTTTAATTATTTTAGTACTCTGAAAGTTGTCACCACAATTAAACCAAACTGAGGTGATAGCCAATATTTTGAAATTACAAAGATGAGATAGTCTTTATAATGTATTTTCTTTAATTATTTCTAGCACTGGGAAGAATAATGCATAAACATTCAATAAATAATCATATGATATGTATGATGCATACACACACAGTATATTATCTGTGTATGTGTGATTTTTGTATGCATTTTGAAAAGCATTACATGATTTCCCATATTTTGGCAGGCTTGGGCAACACTGATTATTTTACATCTTTCAGTTCATTGGTTGTACTTTACCTATTAATCTCAGCCAGAGCCACAGCTTTAACTTTTTTTAAAATAAAGTTAATCTGATATTAAAACACTTTTCACCCTCACCTTCCACTTCAGCTTTCCACCCCAGAAAAAAGTGGGGTGGGAGAACCTCAACAGTTTTGTGCTTTATTTTGTCTGGTACTGGTACCAAAACCTAATATCTTACCCCCTCTCAGGGATAGAAACAAAAAGGAACCTACCTGGACACTGAACATTCACAATTTTGCTCTGATATACAAAGTATGTAGGTTAGGGCAAGAAGTAACCTGAGCTACTTGTTCTTAGGAAGATTTCTTAGGGAGCCAGATAAAACCTTGGCTCTGTGGAATGACCTGCACCAGCCAGAGGACAATTTAAGCAGTGTACGGTCTGCTCTATGAACCTTTGGATCCATCCTTTGGATATGGGATTTTGGCAGCGGAGGTACCAGTTACAGGCACTCTGCCCATGTTACCACAGAGACAAATGCCTGCCTCTGACCCAGGGGGGTCATTTCAGCTCACAGCCAGGCAAGGTTGCCTGCCTTTGTAGTACAGCATATATAGATTAGAGCATGAGGCAGGAATGTAAAAAAAAACCCGAGTTCTGCTACCGTTGGACCGCACTTTAAACAATGGGAGATAGTTTTATGCCTGTGCTTTTTGTCATTTGTCAAGGATTTTTGGAAGTAAAAAATGAAATAAAACTAATTTAGAAGAATACATAAATGCACAAAGTTTTCATGCACCCATGTTATTGTGGGTGATGATGTGTTGTCCCTGAAATATATTCATCAGAAGAAATGCAGTAAATCAAACTTAATCACACCATGTTTGTTTTGGTAACTGCAAAGTAACTTCAAATGTAGTGATATAGTTGTGAAAGGAATGAAGCATGATTAAGTGCTTCAAGATGCTGGCTATTGTAGGTTTTGATCACTGTCAATAGATGCAAGTTATTACATACCTCGTATTTCATATTTTTTATATTGTGCGTTACCATTTTTTGTTTATAAAAAGGGGAGTGGGTGCAAGCATGCTCTCACACTCGCGCAGGCTCTCACTGTGACCTCCAGTAGCATCTCCCCTGTCAACAGACTCCAAGCCACTGCTACTGGGCCAGGCTGAGGCCATGCTCTGCGCCCCAGGCTGAAGCAGAGCTGGAGACTGCTGGTGCCAGAGCAAGGGTAAGAGTGGAGGTGAGGGAAGAAAGAGACTGCAGAGTGGTAAGAGATAAGGCAAGGGGGGTAGGGGTCCAGGGCTGTGGGGGGCAAGCAGCCTGCCTTCCCGCACCACCTCCCTACCACCTGTCCCCAGTGCTCCCTCTGTCACCTGCCCTACTGCCTGCCCCATACTGCTTTTCCCACTACCTGACCTCCATCTCCTATCCCTGCCCCTGCTTTCCCTACTGAAATGGTAGTGGGTTCAAATTTAAGGTGATTTAAATAATGAGATTCAATATATAGAAAATTATAACAAATTTATAAATTTTCCATATATAGAATCTAATTATTGGGGGGTCTTAAATTCAGGGTCATCTTGGATTCAGGTAAATGTGGTATATACTGGGAAACATCATCACTAGTTCCTTCTCTGGCAATCTTATCTGATGGGTTTGCACATGAGAGAACCTGTAGATAACTGCCTTCAAAGGAGGGTTCCAACATGGAGCTCTAGATTCTGCGCCAGTATATACATGTTTAAAAGTTAGGCATTGCATTACTTTAGTTCCTTAGGCACTTGGGTCCTTTTTCCTGGGATTTAGTTTTAAGTGTCGTTAGCATTCAGCACTTTGTAGGATCAAGCAAAAACAGCAGGAGCTGAGAAGAGATGCTGATGGAAAAGAGGGTAATCAACATTTAAAAAAAACTGAATATCAGTTGTACAGTGAAATCATAAAAAAATAGGATACATAATGGTGCATAGTGCTAAAAAGTCTTTCTTGTGAGAGCTGCCTTATTCACAGTTGGAAATGGTATTATTGTAAGCGAGTTTTATATCTCAGGACATTGCAAATGAGTATAAATAAAAACTTAATAAAAAACTATATCATCAAAGGCTTTGTTTGTCGCATTTTGTCTACTCCTGCACCAGCTTACCTGACTCAGGGAATATTAACTGCAGTCAAAGTTGGGACTACAGTTAGTGTAGACATACACAACCAGGATAGCCCTAACCCAGTTATTATGGGGATGGATAAGTAACAATGGACTTCACGATCCACAACTACATAGAAATTAATACGATTGCTTAGATCATAAGTCAAGCCTAAATCTGCCCCATTTGCACTTTCTCTTCCTCCTCTCTTAATTCATAAACCACTTCAAACACTCTTAGAATATATATATTCCAATGCAGATTTATGTACCCCTTCCTTATGAAAAGTGCAAAATAATGCTTGTTTTGAAAATAGACATTGTCTCCATCTATATATTATTTTCTCTTCACTGTTAAAATCAAGGGATATTCAATGTAAAGAAATAAAAAGTCTGCCCTAGCATTCTCCAAAATGCAGATATTGGCAATAGGAGGTTATATAATTTAGGACTGTCCAAAGAGAGTCATCAACAAATCTACTAATAAGTTATATGGAGTTTGTAGCCCATTTACTCCATTTCATTTGAAAAGTAGTCACCAGGAGAACTAGGTTGTTTTTTATACTGACTGAGATAAAGAACACCCTCTACAATCAGGAGTCAGGATTTTGTACATGAAGTACGTGCATATTCATCAGTGGACATGGCAAAAACTAGCAGCAACAAAAGGTAAATAGTGACTAGTAGGGTGTGTGAAAATCTCAGCAATGTGACATTAAACCATTTTATCTTGTAATGTTATATACATTTGTACTTCAGTTATTTCAGCAGGAAAAAATGTGCTGTTTAAAATTAATGTTTTAAAGAAGACTTTTATTCCTTTGATTACAGTCGTTAGAATTCTTTTTTGTGTGTGTACGTGTTATAGGAGAAATTTTGGTCCTTGGGAAAGGGGAAGTCTTTTGTCTTCCTCATATGTTTCACCCCAAACAAAGGAGGACCATCTTGAAAGAGATAGTAGTTCAGTCTCTATGGCTCAGTCATTCCTTTTCCTGTCTGCTGACACTGCCAAGAGTGACATTTGTGACAGCAGCTTTTGTGACCTGCTTCACTGGGAACTGGCCTGAAACCACCAACTCATTTCATGTAGACCACCGAACTGCTATCTGATCGGATGGACTTTTGGCCACTAACAATCTAAGCTTTATTTTGGCCACTGGTCTGTGAATGAGACTTCATAACCCATTATCAATCACTGAGCTGTCCGATTGTGTGTTCTGAGTCTGTTGTTGAAGTGTGAGGAAGGCAGAGCAATGGCATTTTTCTCAGATAGAATGTTTAGTATATTGTATGTGGACTTCACTTGCTCCTGGAGAGGGGAGAGACTTTTCCGTCCTTTTTAGGAATGTTGCTGATCTCTTCTCTTTCCCAATTTTAATCCCTTGCCTCCCATGCCCAAAACCTGATGCTTATTTTCCCATGAAGAACTGAATTTAGGGTTTCTTTCCTACTCCTATCAGTTGCAGCTCTTAAACAGCCAGAAGTATCAGTGAGAAATATTTCTCCCCTCCCCGCATGGTGCGAGTATGCTCTTTTCCATAGACTTCTCAGGGGCCCCAAATAAGCCCTTCACATAGCACCGAACACTCCCATGCTGTAAATGACCACTTGATTAGCCCTTTAAGTTAATACAGTCTATCAGTAGAGGCAGGGACATATCATTTCTCGCACCGTGCTTCTCCAGCCCCTTCTGTTCCCTGCTCTCCTTGCCCATTCTTTAACCACCTTCCCTGGGTTCTCTGTCTGCTCATAAGTGATTGCTGTTCTTTGGACCTAGGTATGCACTGCTTCCACAGTTAGTTGCTGTGAGAGCTAGGGGGTAGGGGAGTACGTAGTATTCACCATAAACAAATCATAGGAAGGAATAGCCTGTGGAGCAACTGCTACAGTACAGATGGGCTTCTGCAGGGTGCCCTAGCCTTACTGGCCCCCAGGCAGGGCCTGCTGGGGGGTGGGAAATTTATATCTATGAGTAGATGCACGAGTTGACCACAAGTAGCACAATTCATAATAAACTCAAGAAAAGGCAGACAAATATTTCACAAACCTTATTTTAATTTTATTTTTTTCAGCTCCCGATTATAATACCATGCCACCGAGTGATTTGCAGCAGTGGACAGACTGGCAACTATACAGGAGGAAATCATTTGAAAGAGTGGCTTTTGTCACATGAGAAGCTTCAGAAAGAAAAGTTAGCATATTGATGCAGTTCAGCCACAGCTGTTACACAGCCAAAACACATAACCAAAGATACTTGGCTTATAACAAGCTTTCAGAACACACAGTAGAATTCAGGAAAATGGTAAATATTTGAGTGACATATAAATATAATACAACATCCGAAGTGAAATGTGTGGTGGCACTACTATATTAAAAAAGCTGGATGTGTCCTAGGGGACGCAGCTTGTATGCCCTTTCTTGTTTTTACATTTTACAGCAGAATGAGTACAGCGGACTGTGCCTGTTGTGCATGTATTTTGTTCCCATCTCCAGTCCTGTTTTGTTCTATTTTTAATGTCCATTAAAGCAAGGATAAGGGAGTGGGAGGGGCATGGCAAATGTTAGGTGCAACTGCCCCTCTAAGGAAGCATCTGGCTCACAGAGGGGACAGCCGGCAGTCTAAAGCCTTTGCGTGTTTCTGAGAGCAAAATGAAATGCAAAAGCTACAGCACACACCTCCCTATTCCTGCCCAGCTTTGTATTTGTCCAGATTGAAAAGCTTGTACCTCTGCCAGGATTGGTGCCCAAGATTCTCCTGTTTTCTTTGATGTTTGAACTGTTGAAATGATGTTTTACGTAAACAGTTGTTAATGAAACACATTGAGAATCGTTCAAAAGGAAATGGCTATTGAATTGCCTATTCACAGCTTTTCTTTTCAAATTGTTAAAGATGCTTAAAAGATATGAATAAAAATTATTTTGTCTTTATTAACATTGCAGATCGTAGGCAGAAAAATAGATGCTGATAAAGTACTTTATGCTAAAATAAATGTTTCTTTCAAACTAAGCAATTGTTAAGTTGAAGTAGTGTGCTAAAACAATTAAAAGTATAATTAATTTCAGTTATCTTTCTAATCAGTAAGTCTCTAATTTTACGTAACATTTTGTTTTATTTCACTTTTCATAATCACATGTTATGCAGTAATCTCCATTGTAAGGGGCAAAGCTTTATTTTGTGAAGGTTATCCATGGAATATACAGATGGTTAAAGGATATTGAAGCTAAAATTTCTAATTATTTTAAAAAAAGATTCTATGAAAGTGAAATATTACAGATCACCAGAAGCTGAAATTTTCAGTCTGGGAGTTGTAAATTGTTACACAAAAACACTGATTTTTTTCCTGTTATAATGCTTTATCATATTGTTATAGGTGTCTCTTTTTTAGAAAGCTTATTGCTAACAAAGGAATTTTATATTGCAATATGTAACTTAGCAAATATGGTAGTAACAATATTGTAGAATTACTTAATTAAAATTGTTTTGCATATCCAAGTGTCTGGCTGTATGTGTGTAAATAATACACAGTGCGTGATATATGGAGAAAATAAACTATACCCAGCTGTACAATATAAGGCTGTATTTTTATCAAGGGTTTCTGGTGGCAATATAAACCACGAAAGCAAAGCTCAAGTGGTTTGTACATGTCACTAGAACCATGAGATGAAAAAATATACCCTTATAATATGTACAGTTTGGGTGTATTTTATTTTTTATAATACCAACAAAAGAACATGATGCCTAATGTAAACTTGAACCTTTTTTAAATATTACATCAGTATCTGCTTCTTTATAGTTATTTGCATGTGTTCTTCCACAGTGTATCATCACTTATTCTTCCACTGAAGTAGTAAATGTGGCTAGTGTCTGTAAGTTTGGTAATGATAAAATATTTAAAATCTGGAGAATCAACTTTTTTGCAAAATCTCATTCAGCCTCCAGTTCTTTGCTTGCAACTTTCACTCTCAAATATTTGCAGGTACATTTTTGTGTCTACAATCTTTTGCAAGTGCATTTGATGTCATTTAGGTATCTAAGCATCAGGTTGTACATTGGCACTTGGACATCTAAGCACCACCAGCTCAGTCTACTGCTCTTTGTGCTGATAGAACTAGAGGCCAGCAAAGTGTTAATTTGAACACTGTCTGGGATATCAGTTATTAAGATTTGTCTGCTTGTACTGTAAAATATAAGGCTATAAAAAAGATTTACACATAGTTTGTCTATATGAGTAAAAATATAATTATAAAATAAATGGTTTTGACCATGATGTTTTTATCCTGATTTTTCCCTCTATTGAAAAAGTAGGGTTGGGAAAATGATTTTACTTGTCTAGAAGATAGTGAAATCTGAGTGGAAAAATACTGCAGGGATACACTAGGATAGCATTAGTTTTGGCTATACAGGAAGGAGCTGTAGAATGATAATAGAAATTTACTTATAAGCCAAGAGTTTTGTTATCTGAACAGAATACGTTTATGAGCTTGCATACTGATGTTTATTTTTGTGTTGTAGGCCAAGCAGCATATTCTTTGTCCATGTGTTTTCCAACAGAGGGCACTATAGCTTAGAAGAATTAGATGCATGTGTTTTACAATGTGTTTAGGAGACCCTCATTCACCACTTTTTTTTCTACTGTTTAAGAATGAATTTGAAAATGAACAGCAGAGTTGAAATCTCTGAGCTGCCTTATTTGCAGTGCTTCAGACAGTCTGCCTCAGGAATTAGCTGTCTAGTAGTATTACAGGCCTGCATTCTGCATCCCACGTATGTATTGTGAAAGGTGCTGTAGTTCAGATAGTAAGATGAAGAATGGCTTTTCTTTACCAGTGATTTCAGAGATTGCTAGTGATGCCCAAATTGTATATTCGTGTGACCAACTAATGATGGGTGCTATGGCACTAGAACCTCTAGGGGTTCAGTTTCAAGAAGTAGATTCTATAGTGCTGCTTAGGTGTACTGTTAACATTCTTCTTTTTTGCATTAGTAATGCTGATTTCCATTAATACAATCTTGATTCTGTGGCATTCTCTCTTTTGGCAAGAGGAGCATCTATGATGAAATGCTTAGAACAACATAACTGAGCTACCAAGAATGTGTACACATCATTCGCTTACATGAGCACTTTGCCATGCGAGGAACAAAAGGTATGTCATGTTGCATTCTGATTTATCAGAAGCAACTTAAAAATAATTTAGCAGAAAAAATAAAACCAAGGAAGGCTGGGGTTTGTTTTTGGCCTGCCCTTGTTGTGTCATAGCAGTACAAAACCAGTTTTCTGTTTTCTGTCTCTGAGGGTTTTCTCTGCCCTGTCATAACAGTCTTGATATATGCCCTGAGGTTTCCACTGAAGAAGGCAGCAGCATGGTTCAAACTGGCATTGTTTTGTACAGCCCTAAATACAACTATGAGAAGCCATTAGAAATGAACATGAAAAGCAGTCACTGGAATAGCCTACAGCTCATTCTGACTAGAGGTTATAGCATAGTTTATGAAAATATAGCTAAAGAAAAAGTATTAAAATACAAAAATAAAAAAATTAAAAACCCTAGAAACAAGAAAGCTATGTTCTTTTTTACTTGGAATTGGGTTCCACTGACCTATCAAGTTTCCTCCCATTCAGCCTTGCAGTGCTTTGAACTGCTGACATTGAGACACTGTGCAGCCAGGCACGACAGCTGGCTCTGCAGCATCTAATACCAACACATGCTGTTTTAGCCCATTTCCAGAGACTAAGATAATGAAAGATTCAAAAATAATATTTGTTTTGGCGGAACTACATTTATAATGAAATAGATGCCCTTGACCATGGAAGAAACTGAATTTTGCAATGGGTCATTCCTTTCCTCCTCCTTTTTTTCCCCTCCATACAAAGACTACTCTCCTGCAAACCAAAATCCAGTAGAAACATTTTGGAAGAAATGTGTGTACTTCCTGTTTCAGATGTACAATAAAAATGCAGCTATACTAGCTGTGCTGTTTTATGCCCAAATGAAAAATGTAGATTACATCCTATGTATCAATACCAAATGGTAAAGGGCCTCAGGCATAAGGATTGTTACAGATCACTTCCATGCAAGCACAGTTTGTCAAGTAATGAGCTCATACAGTAAGCATCTTAAACAGAAAACTGATTCATTATAGTTATAAGGGCATTTTTAGATATGTGCCCAAATTCTATTCACCCTATTCACGCAAGCAGTCCCATTGGAATTAGTGGGACTGCTCTTCTTATCAAGGCAAGAAGGTTTTGACCTATAAAGTTTCCATTTAATTCTTTGTAAATAATTATGTACCAGATCATGCTGTGTTCACCTCTAGGTTCTTTAATTTGGTACTTGACGGTAACTTTATAATATATAATTTAATTAAAAAAACTGGTGCAATTCATATGAGCAATATTGCTATTGTCACTATGATCCGCATAATACTAAGTTACAGATGTACTAAAAACTAAACAGTAACTACATACTATTGTTTTTTGTAAATATCACAGATACCTTTTATCATTTTTCACAATGTCTTAGCAAAATTTGAATGTGAAATACTGATAGAGCTAACTATAACATACAATACAGGTCCATTTTGCATTCTGTATTGTTGGTCCATATTTATTTCTGAAAGTACTTGTTGTAAAAGGAGGTATTCCAGAACTTACTTGCTTTTTAAAAAATGCAATAAAAGAATAAAACCCATAAAAAGAAATTGCTTAAAAACTTAAAGCACTGTAATCCAATGGGAGTCCTGTAAGATTTATGTACTATTTCAAGAGTAATTGCTCAGTAAGAATCTTATAGGAATGTAAAAATCCTTGAAGAATTGCATTTACAGATTTAATTGTAATTTCTCTTATATTCTTAAAGAAATCAAATATAATTGTATTTAAAAGGCTTCTCTTTAATACTCTTCTCCCCTTGTTTAGTCACTGTATACCTTCCTTATGTTTTACTGTAGCTGGCTTTAAAAACAATGGAAAATATTACTGACAGTACACTCAGTTGCCATTGAAGTGGGCAGGATATTTCAGTTACACTGATGTGCAAATTGGTCATACAAGCTTTATAGCTTGTCAAAGAACTCTGTGCTATTTTTGTTTCAAATAACATACATAGTGTATGAGTAATAAATAAATATGCTTAATACAGGACATGGAAAAAGTAGGATGGGTTTTTCTCCAGTTCTCTCCCACAGATTTTGTTTCCAGAAATCCTACCACAATAAAACTTCCCCTCTTCTATGTTCTTAATAGTCTTAATGTTTGGGGTCCTCTAGGCTAATGTATTTTTTGGTTATTTTTTTCTTTTATTGTGTGCTGTTCTTCAGCCAAGGAGAATGTTTTATTACATCAAGTTGTTTTAGGATTTAAGTAGATTTTTTCGTGCTAAAGTAAGTTGCCTGTTTGTGCATGTGTGTTTTTTCCTCCCTCCTGTTCAGTGGCTTTTGATTAAAAAGTTGGTGTTTAAAAAGCTGAAGTTAACATCAATTTTATTCTTTATCAGTTTTGGAGACACAAAGGTTTGAAATGAGCTCTGTACAGAATGCTGATCCAGAACAGCCTCTGGTCTGTGTGAAGTAATGTGTAGGTGGCAGTTAAAAGCAGGGGCCAGAGACTGGAGAAACTGCAGGTACTGATGTGTCTTTAAGTGACTAAGGGCAGTAGTCCAAAGTCTTCTGGACCAAGTGGCACCAGCTGCAGACAGATGGAGAATGTCTGGGCTCCATCACCCTCAAGTCTGCTCAGACAAGGATCTATATATTAGGGTGGGAGAGTGGATAAGAAAGTAAGAAATGGTAGCTGTGTGGTAAGGTGAAAATTGACATGAGCACAGTGTACTGGCAGTGCCTTTGATTGATGAAAGGATATTGTTAACAAGCCTTTAAAGTTTCTCATTAATGTTTTTTTCATTGAAAAAAGCCACAAGAAAAAAATTCCACATGGACAGTAATTAAGATCGATCCCATACAGTATGTTTAGTTATCAATTTTTAAAACCTCTTTAAGTACCTTGTTTAGTTATTTTAAATGGTGCTTTTTATTTATTGCAGTGAGTAGTCCTGAAAAAACTATAAAATTGGGCTGAGAAAGGTGCAAAATACAGAATTTCATGTAGCTATTTTTTTAAAATGCTGTGATCAAGTAGATTTGCATTTAAGTTATAAGAAATCAGACACCAGTAGGCCAGATTCACTGGTATTCTTGGATGCTTTGAGTCGCAGGAAAAGCACATAGGAGCCATTGTGTACTATTTTGTATGGTCCTGTGTCTGTAATATGCAAAGTATGTTGCTTGAACTAAGACGCACCATTCTTCTTTTTATGAAGTTATCACTTTGATTACTGTAAGTACACTGAAATAATGAGGGTAGTTATGAGTTATACATCCCATAGTCACTAAATGGACAGTAGTCTGCCAAGTTGATGGGATCCATGGGAATACTTGATCTCTACACAAGGCTTGACCTGATCCCAGCACAATACTTTGTGACAGGCT